AGCAAATATCTTTTGAATGCAAAGGTACATATCTTTTCCTTACCATATTTATGAGAGGGAAAGGTTTCTTTTTTCTTCCTTCTTATACTTTACAAGCACTAAATTCACTGCGAGAGTCCTGTAGCTTTTGAACTGAGCAGCTAGAAGACCAAAAACACTCATCTTTCCTTGCTGTTGACTCTTTCTCATGGATATTTTCAAAATTTTCACATTTCAGTCACAGAACTCTATAGCAGGTGACATTTACTTTTCTGCTTATTTTAAGGATCATTTTTACAAGGAAGATAAATGTATGTCCTTGGTTCTTGGTACTGTGCAGGTCTTTCAGTCACAAATGGAAGAATTAAAAACCCTGAAACCTCACTGGGAAATATAATGTATTGAAGATACCTAGTTCCTTGAGTTATGCCTGAATCACATCCCCCTTTTTCAGAGTTTTCAGTAACTAATTCTACAAGATTATCGTATATGATTCCCTACACATTCTGTTGGCAACCTAGAAACCTGACTTGGAACGTGAACGTTGAGATTTTGAAGTGCCCCAATGGTCCTTCTCAGTGTGGAACTCTTTAGGCCAGCAGAGATAGTTATATAGGAGCCTAGAATCTGGAACTGGCCTCAGTCTCCCTCTACAGGAGTCCATATCTCTACAGTGATTATAATTCCTAATGTTTTGCTCAGAAAGACCTGAATTCCAGGTCACCACAATGGAGTGGAGCACTGTGACATAGGTAACACAACTTGTAAAGGGTCTCTGGCCTGAAGAAATGGACAAAAAGGTGGGACAAGTGCATACTGTGAAGCTGAACTAGAAGTTCAGTTTCAGTGTCTGTACTGGGCGCATGCCAGGGTGGTTTGCTGTTGTCATTCACTAGAAATTTCTTTCCATACTGTTTCCCTTTGGCTGTGTGAGACATACTCAGAAAGCTATTTCTTGGTGATGTGGTTCTAATTCCAGAAAATGATCAACTGCATGAGCAGAGACATAAGCTGGACATTTTCATTTGGCTCATATATAAGATAGTTTTCCAGAAATACCTAGAATAAAACTGAATCACAAGCTGGTGTGCAGCTATGTGCAATGCATAATATCAGGGAGAGGTGAGCCACCCCCTGTTTCCCCGGTGCCACAAAGCAGAGTCCTGTGCAGTGGACTTCGGTCTGCTGAAGTGAGATTATTAACTACTATCTCGAGGAACAGTCTTTTCATTACCTGAATTAGAAAATTTTTCCAGAAAAAGCTAAGATGTTTCAAATTGTTAATAATTAAATTATTAAAAATAATGTAAGTATAAATTAAACTGTACACTTTTCAGGATGTGCTCCAGAATGGTAACAGAGCTCCTGCCTTCCAGTAACTTCCATGGAGGCTTTCTGTAGCATTGTCACCTTCTTCAGATCAGAGGAGGCAGCCAGTACCGCCGGGTGCTGTGAGGGCTGGCTGCCGCTCCAGGTAAGCCAGGAGGGAGTGCAGAGAGGCAGCAGGGCTGGCAGGCACCCAGACCCCAGCCAGAAGGGGCCGGGGTGCTGAGCAGCGCGTTAGGGTTGGACCAGGTCTGGAGACATTGACCAGCCCAGCGAGTCTGCAGGGCTCAGACAGCACCACGACCAAGCCAACAAGCCCCGGCAGTGGGGCTGGACCAGAGTAGGAACAAGAAGCTGCTCCAAGCTCCTGCTGCCAGCAAGGGAGCTGGCCTTGGGCTCAGGACCCACACCTTCACCCTCTAGCTGCATCCCTGGCAGGGCAACACACTCAGGGCGCTGGCAAGGTCTGGGGTAAATAGAAGCTGCAAGTGTTAAGTAAAAACTTTCATAATAACCAGCCAAAATAGCTGAAGTGTATTTAGAAAGAAATTTGTTAAGGAAGGCAGTACTACAAGTTTTTATTGATTCGCTCTCAGTTTCTGAATGCCAGTGATTAATTTACACCCTGAAGTGTGACTTTTACCACAGTCATTAGTGGGAACATAGAAGATGTTGAACTCTCAGCAAAGCCAGCAATATAACCTGTGCTTTTTGGCATTACTATGAGGGAAAAGAAAGTAGGAGTACTTGTAAAATGCCTAGTTTAATGACTTCTGTGATATCAGTAAAGTTTTTCTAACATTAACAGAGGGCTTTTATTTCTTATCCCTAAAACCTCATCTCCCTGCTATGCTGTATGGATCAGTTTAGTCATGTCCTAGCTATTAATACTCTTCCAGCGATGGGTTTAGGGGAATAATAAATATGCATTTCCAAGATCTACTAAAGCAAAGAGAGGGTTATTGTTCTGTGTGCTAGATTTCTTGAACCAACAAAAACTGACACAAAAGCTCCCAGGCTTGATTAGGCCACTGGTTTATCTAATGCACTATCTTGTTCACAATTCACAGAACTCAAATAACAGCATGTTTCTGAATTTTAAGCTTATGCATTGTAGTGTTCTGCAAATTCACTTTATAGGCCATAAATAGTCCAAAGTGATCTCAGTGGCTTGGAAAGTCTGGTTCATCTTATGATTTGGTAGCTTATGATTGCATAGCTTTGACTATTTACTGAGGCACTTGTCAATTGACATAATGAGATTCTGAAAAACACTTCAGAATTCTACTGCATTTTTCACCTGTAGCTTTGGTCTAAAGCCACTGAAATTTGGAACATTTCTGGATCCATGCCCACAGCTCACAATGGCTAGTCAAAGATTTTGTAAGACCTTCTGACTTGACTCTACAAAATACACAGCAAAAGCAGATAAAGATTTCTCAGTAATGTAGACAGAACCGCATTGTCATCTAAGGAAAACAGCTGGAGTCAAACTCTTGGTATGAGGAGAGAAAGGGCAGCAGATAGAGCCAATGTTCTGCTCTGCTGGAAGGAATGCATGACTTGAACATCCCAGGTAAAGAACCTTTGTTCAGTAGATGCACTAACTTTGGAAGTTAATATCTCACCATCTACCCTGAACAGAGGAAAATAAGCTCTAAGCTCCAGAACCAGCAGAGGATTTTAAAATATTGTTTGAAAATGACCAGAAGTGGTTCTGGCTGAAAAGCTCCATGAGAAGCATTGTATAAAAACACAGAGCTGGCAGTTCAAAGACAACTTCTCAAAAACATCCAAGGAAAGGATCAGGTAGAACAATTGATAACTTGTCTTGCAGCTTTCTTACAGATAAAATGAGGTTTTGAAGATTTAGTGTATCCAGTGAAAGGCTTTTTAACTTTTGTTCTTTTTTTTATTTTGTTGTAGTAGTAGTGAGGAAGCTTTGCAGATACTGAGCCCATGGTGCCTTTACTAATATAATTGGTTTCTTTAGGTTCATTCTTGATGCTGCTGTTAGGCTTGTCTCCAGATCTGTGGCATTATGGAGACTGAGATGAATTAGGTCTTCCATCACAGACTGCTCCCCTTCAAAGTAAGTTGCATCAGACTCTGCAAAAGCCAGAATTACTTGCTTTGCTCAGGAAAATTTGTGCAAACATTTGTCAACTAAATAGACCTTACCAAAATAATTCACAGTATGTGGAACTAGTAGTATAGCTATCCCTTCTTTTAGTATAGGAATTATCTCAAACAAAACTGTCCAGAAAAGATACTATTTTGATACATAAAACTTGATGATGTTCTTAAAAAAAAGGGGGAAAAAAAGAAAAGTAGTAATAACATCTTTTTAGCAGATTCCTTGTGGTGTACAAGAATACACAGAGGTTACAAAATCTGCAGTCACACAGGGACTGTGTTACCTTTCTCATTGCTGACAGTGGGTTTGAAGCTGGTTATGACAGACCCAACATATCAGCAACTTGATTGGTATTTTATACCACAGAGGTGCGGTGTAGGAAATACCCACAATGTCACCTTGACATGTCACTTTTGAAGTTTCATGAAAGCTGAAAAAAGGCAGGAACTTGCTTTTCATGTAGTGACCTAGTAACTTTAGAGGCCTTTTCTTTTTTAGAAATGTAGTGCAAATCAGTATGTTAAATACATGATTAAGTTAAAATGAATTTTTTTTTTTTTGTGCTTACAGAGGACACATCGTCCTGATTGTCATTGCTGTGCTCTGGGCAGTATACAGCCAAAAGCAAACAGGCAGACAAAGTAGTCATATTAGAGAAAGAATGTCAGCATAACCAACTGCTTGTTTGTTTCTGCTTGCACCAATCTGCCAGCAATGTTGGAGCCAATGTAATGTATCAGATTATTCACACTTAATTCAATCCCTTTATTTCACAGATCTTTGTTCATAAAATGTTGCTTTAATTTGGAAGCCGAGGAAATGCCTTGCACTTCCTCATCCATGCAACAAGTTATATACTTTTCTATGCATACTACACACACACATATATATAAGCACAGAAACAAATGAAGAGCTTTGTTTTGGTTTTTTTTTCTTTCTTCATCACTTTAAGCATCAGGAAAGGTGACATTGCCTAAATAACTTTTATTCACAGCAAGTGATATAATTATGTGATGCCACAGTTATCAGCTACTAGGTGGATTGTGCATTGTTGATACCTGTGTATTCATATGCATATTACTTTTGACAGCTTTTGACAAAGGAAAATTATATTTGAATTTTTTAAGAAAACATGGTTCAGACAAAATCAGTGGCAAAGGGCAAATGTACTTAAAGAATGTACTTCTCTGTTGTAGAAATGGCTGATTTCCTTTTCTGCATAAAAAATATTTTATGATAATCACTATGAATGGAAAATACATCTAGTCTGACTTCAAAGTTTCTTATCCCAGATGATAAAATGTTACTAATAACTTTGGTCAGGAAAATTACTGTGAATACACAGGCAAAGACTGTGGCTTTACTTCTCATATGAATTGCCAGTGGTGTCGTATCAAAGATGTGATTACTGGGTAAACTAATGCTGACGTTTGCACAAAAAAATATTTCTTGTGAGACATTTACCATCCATTCTAACATTGTCAGTCATCTTCAGCAGCAATGAATGAATTCTAAGTTTTAAGTCAAAACCTAGTGATAGCAGAGAAGTTCTACTTACAACTTAGCAGGAATAGGCTTTGAGTGTACGTTGGGTGCACCAGGTCTGATAATAGCTCATTTCCCTTTCTGAGGAGAGGATAAGAAGTCTCAATATATTGTTGCACCTGAAGCATGAAATTACTTACTTTTAAGACCCAAATTATAAACTTCCAAAACAAATAAAAGGAAAATTTTCCTGGAAGAATAGTTGTTATGATTGAAGGCCTGTACCAGCAAAGTAACTGGCACCTTACACCCAAGACATGAAGCAAATATAAATGTTTATTTTTCTCTTTCTAACCTGATGAACATGGTATAATTTCAGCAGGATCTTAAATTAATGAAGTCTTATGGAGACAGCTGACTGGGAAGCATTCCATGTGCCTGTTGAATAATATGCTCCTGTGTGTTTTCTCTATGTGTATATGCATTGCAAATCTGATTCCACGAATTCAGACCCATATGTTACAACATTCACAAAATAATATCATATTTTTCATTGTGATTTTACAGGCTTTATTATTATTTAACCATCCTTAAGATTATAATTCCTCCAAATTATTTAACTGCAAGCACAAGATAATAGAGGATTTCTTTTACCAGGTTGCTGAACATCACCTTGCACTGCCATTGCTTCTCATCCAGTCATATCTATGATTGGTATAATTTCTCTGTCCTTAGCTAACTGGATTTTTAATTTTCAAAGCAATTCTTTCACTGTGAGGATGGATACAGTAATTTTTAAGAAGGTGAAAAATTCTTTTTTAATATACACAAGGAATAACCCCCCCTCACATTTAATTTTGATCTTTGCTTTACTCCCTAGCTGCCTGGGGAAAGAAGGACAAGACATTTGGAGCAGGTGAATGACAGAGCTCAGGGAGGGCAGGGGCATGGATGTGCTTCCTCTCCCCCTGCAGAGCTCCTCTCTCCACCTGAGTTTCTGAGCCACATGTCAAAGACACAGAGTGCCCATTGACTACATGGAAATCAATACCATACAAGAGGACATTTGATTAGTTTCCAAATTAAGATGAATTAGTGTTTTCTCTCTGTTTTGAGGGGCAGTCCCAGCTGCCGAGGCATGGCTTGTGGTGAGCCTTGCTGGAGCAGCCTACAGGGTAGATCCTCAAGCTGCCATGGTTTAAATTTAAGTTTTCCCACTCCACCATTGTAACTCATGCACAGAAGATCAGAAAATAAATGGTATATTAGTAGCTGATAATTAACATTGAGGAGTATTCACAGGCTCAGTTAGTTACAGGTAGTTTAGAAGAAATTATGCCTAACATTGCTTGCAGGTGAGAATTTTTGCCTCTGAACCCATGTATAAGTTCAAACTCACCCAGGCAGAGTCTTTGACTTTGAATCAATTTTAGGGTTTTAAGACATTAGGAGGATGTCCCTTCCATGGTTACAAGTGTGCTTGTCTACAAAATTAATTCAGGACTGCGTCTAACTAACTTTTTTTAATACGAACTTAGGACATTTCACACATGACACCTTGGTACTAGTATGCCAGAAGTAATTAAAATTTACTATAATGTGTATATTTTTTGTACTTTTTCATATATTAATGATAATGTGCTCAGAGAGAATACACATATTAACTGCAATATTTAGACAGTGTAAATTTCTCTTTGCTCTCCTCTACAACTAAATTTTATTCTTATCAATATAGCCTTCAACTTTTTTTGCATGATGCAGCATCTTTCTGAAGCTGCATTTTAGAAAAAATCCTGTTTGAAATTTTGCTGGCATATGCAAACCTGCCATCTATGGAGAAATTGGAGGCATTTCAAGTGACTGATACACAATAACAGTGGCGGATTTGCAGTGATCTGAGCAAATTAACATTAAGTATGAGTCTTAAACAAACTATATCAGGAAAAAGAAGAAATCAGAGGGATCAGTTTCTAGGAGTTAGACTCTCATGTATATTATCTGCTAAATCATAAAACCAGGAGGACTTTTTAGAATGGATTTTCCAAAAGGTCTTTTTCTTTGCATTCAGTATAGAGAGACACAAAATTTCATTATGGGTCCTACAACACATTAGGGGAGTGCATTGATTACTCTGCATTATCCTGGCAGTATGAGAAACCAGGACTATCACAGATCAAGATTATGAAGTTTTCCCCGAATTCAGAGCTGCATCCCAGGTACTTGCCAAGTCAGCATAGGTAGCAGTAAAGGAGCTCAGCTTAAAAACAAATATTCTCATGTGACTGTAGAGGCAGTTTCCTAAATCTGCAGATGTGCATCACAAGTGAACACATTGTAAGAACTCTGCCTGAGACTGTGTAGGTTTGCCATGACAAGTCAAAATTTGTCTTTATGGTTATGCAAGCCTAATTATTTCTTGTTTGGTATGAGAAGGAGAATCTGACCCTGTAACAGCCCATAAAACTGCTGTGAGAACAAATGGGGGGAAAAAGTCAGCCACATGGGCAGTTCAGGCTACCACTGAATTCTTTGCAGTAGTCTACATACAGTGCAATGCACTCTGAAATATGGCATCAGCTAAAGCTGCACAACGTCTCTTGAGTATAACTTTTGTGGGTATGTAGTATCAGGTTCCTATTTTTTGTGTGGAAAGGTTCTGGTTGCTGGGGATTACAGGGTTGGCTTCTAAGAGAAGGTGCTAGAAGGTTCCCCCATGTCCAACAGATCCAAGACAGATATGCCACCGGCCAAGGCTAAGCCCATCATCAATGGTGGGAGTGTCTCTGGAGCAACGTATTCAAAAAGGGGAAAAAAACCACCTGTGCATCCAACTGCAATCAGAGAGGAGGGAGACTTTGTGAGAGAAACAGCTCTGCAGGTACTGAGGTCAGTGAGGAAGTAGGGGGAAGAGGTTCTGCAGGTGCTGGAGCTAAGATTCCCTGTACCCAGTGGTGAGGCAGGCTGTCCCTGTGCCCATGCAGCCCATGGAGATCCATGGTGGAGAAGATGGATGCCCAAAGAAGTTGTCTCCCCACCAGAAGTTCAAACTGCAGCCAGCTTCTGGTCAGGTCTGTGGAGCCCACACACTGGAGCAGGTTTGCTGGAAGGACTTGTGATCCTGTGAGGGACCCACGCTGCAGCAGTAGCAGAACTGTAACCTGTGGGAAGGACTCGCACTGGAGAAGTTTATGGAGAACTGTCTCCTGTGAGAGGAACCCCACTCTGGAACAGTGTGAGAAGACCTTCCTCCTGAAGGAAAAGGTAGCCCCCATCGGCCTGCACAACTGAGGAGGAGAAGATAGTAGAGAAAATCAGGAGTAAAGTTAGGCTGAGGAAAAAGGCGGGGAGGGAGATAAGATGTTTTTAAGATTTGGACATTTTCTTCATTCTCCTACCCTTTTTTTCCCACAAGCCTGTTTTGCTCATGATGATAACTGCCCACCAGCCTCTTTGTATCTTTGTCTTCTGTCAAGTTGAGAAGTGATAGGGTGACTTTGGTGGGCATCTGGCATCCCTTCAGGGTCAACCCATTACATGCAGCAAATTCTACTGAGGTAACTACTGATAGAAATACTGATTATACACCAGCTGGTTTTATCCATTTTGTATTTGCATTTATGTACATTATGTCCTCTTCACAGTTGTGCAAATATTTATATGCTTAGTAGTGAAAAAACCCATCATAACTTTTCAAATAAGATGTTTGTCCTTAAAACTGGAGATGAAATGATGAAATACACAAGTCTGTGACTCATCATTGCTATACATTGTTATTATCACCTCCATAGCTAGACCAATACCTTTTCAAAGCTGCTTATTTTTAAGGACTTACATAAGTGAAATGACCAGGGGCTTACAGCACACTTTATCACTCCTGGAACAATTTTTCTGTTCTAGCACTGTAAACTTGTGATCTCCCTTCTGTCTATCTTTTTTCTTCTGGCTATGCAGTGCAAGATGTGTATTATTTGATATTTCTTTTAGATTTCTGATATCTTAATTTACTGTCATGTCCATTTGATTTGGTTCTCTACTTACTTTCCTCTCTTTTCTAGAGGTAGTGAGAATAGAGTTTCATTTTGCTTTTGACAAACTACCTCTTCAGTGACAGTATCAATGCAGGAGAAATTGTTAGGTTTGGGTTTTTAATTTTCTGCTAAAGGGACTGCTGTGTATAACTGTGAATGCACTCCAAATAGATCCTACTTCAATTTTGCTTCTACCTTAATAGGTATCAACTTTGTTACTGTGTAGGAGTTCAACATCAGTTTTGTAAGACTACATTTTCATTGCTTGCATTCCATTTCTTGAATATGTCTTAGTCCTCAGGCTGTATTAGATGCCACAGATCCTGGGTTCTCTCAATTATATGATCTTTTAATTTGCTCAGGACGTTATTTTGACAGCCTCATTTAAAATGAGCAATCCTTTACTCCATTATTACTCACTCACATTGAAATCAATTGGCATCTTAAAGATCATCTTCAGGGCAAAGATAGCAAAAATTTGTTTTCCCATATCTGCAGAAAAGTAATAGTTTCTACTGGTTTTTATTAAATGATGCATTTCAGGTTACCTATTTGCCTTTATTTAGTAGCCATTGGACTGTATCCATGCATTGTACCCATTGAATAGCTTTCCACTTCAGAGTCCCCTGATTCTCAAGAGCAATCACTAGTACCATTTTCCCTGAGACAGGTTTTTTACAAGGTGGTGATATCTGTTTGCTTTTCAAAAATTTATTTCTTTTCTCATTCTGTCTGTTTTTTCCTCATACTCATTTGCTTCTTGATTTCCCCCTTGTTTTAATTTAATTTATTCTTTACTGTTTAATTTATTCTTTACTGTATTCAGCTAGTTGTGCAAGTTAACTTGTGAGACTGAAACCCTGATTTATCTCACTGAATTTTTAAAATCTGAGGTTCCAAATTTAGGAATTTATGATAAATTAAGAAACACCTTCGGTGATTCAGGCTTTCTAAAATTTCAGTACTCCCTTGAACATGATTATTCCTCTGTACTTACTATAAATCTCCTGAAATAGGTACTTGAATTATTGAGGTTGTAGGTGGAGTGAATCTAAATGCTATTTCAAGCTTTCATGCATCATATGAATGACTGTGTTTCTGGAGAAGTTATGTCAATTGATAATCATGTTTCTAATTTGGGTTTGCTTGATTTTAACTTCCAGTAACTGCATCTTGTTGCTCCTTTGGTAAAACGGAATGGGATCGTTAAGTAAATTATCCAATCTCCAAATAAACTTCCCAAATGTCTTGAAAACCTCTTTTATTTTCCTACTGTTCTTTCTGCAGTGCTGACAGTTTAACAGAAAGCAGCCTTCCAGCAGTGCCACGTGCTGCAGGAATGCACAAAGGTCCCTCCATACCTCAGCTCTTTCGTCTTCATGTGTCCAACAGTTGCATTGGGTCTCTCAGGCACTGGGGACACAGCTCCTTCTGAGGTCCTGAATATTTTTCTTTTTCTCTCAAATACCACATCCTCTCATGCAAGATAATGCCCAGTTGCTGCTCATGAATGCTTGATTTGCGCTTGGCTGTTTCACCTGTGTGCTGTTGGCATGCGTACCCCTGGGCAATGGGGCCATAGAGCTCTGCAGAGCTGTTCCCCCTCTGCAGAATTCTCTCAAGTTATGACTCTTTAACACTTCTGTTCCATTTTAAGAAGACAAAATATTTGAGTCCCAAGCTATACCTTGATTCTGTTCAGGCAAATTATTTCTACAGAAGTGAACCTTAAGAAATAAACCCTCAGTGGCAGTCAATGCCTCACCTTCCGAAAGTCATTCTCCAGAAATTCTAGGTGAGTTTAGTAGCAACGTAAGAACTGATACAAAGAACAGTGTACATTATGTGAGAAAAACATTCTGTAATTATAGTAATTCTAATATCAGAATCCCTTCCTGTGCACAATATTGTATTCCAGGACAAACTAATGTACATATATTTCTGATTTCAGTATTGCTCCATATCCCTGTTTACAGGACCAGAAAATCTTTCTAATGTTCAAGTAATTTTTTTTTCTTTATAAATTATGCTGGTCCAAATGTTACTTTCTAGCTACAGGACTCTGATGCAGCTGGTGCTGTCTCACTCACATCAGTAAGTCTTTTTCCTGGACACTTCTGTCATTTGAAAACCATATGTACTTTTTAAACAATATATTTATACCCTCTAAGTGATTCATTGAACCAGCATACTTTTTCTCCCTGTTTTTCTGGTAAATTCAAATTAACTTGTGCTGCAGTGCAGAAATGAAAAACAAGTGCATCATGTAATCCACTGTTAATACATAGAATCAATACATCTAATAGAGATGTAAGCTCTTACTGCATGTGAACTTTCTGTCTACCTTGTTCACTATTACAGAATATTAGAATTGAAGACACCAGCTTCTCACAGGCTAACAGTTTTCATGGGATTCATACAACATTTTCATTTCTGCAGGTAGACATGGATCATATAATATTTATTGCAGTGGGTAGATTTTTAGATTTCTCTGCAGGTGAAGCATGGTAGATATAAAAAGGTACCCACCCAGTAACCTCCAGAAATCTTCTCTCTATTACACGGTGCACAGGTAAATTGTGTTAATAATTTTCAGCAGTGTAAGTTCCCTGAAGCTGTTATCTCACATCAGCACCAGAACACATGTGGGTACTGACCAAAGCCTGGCTGCTCCCTTTTGCAGCTGACAACCCAGGGTTCAGCTGTCCAGGAGTGAGACCCACTTTGATGAAGCTCAGTTTGGTAACTTTAAACTGGTGTTTCCGAAAAAAAAAATTCTTGAGCTGAAAGGGAATTCATAGGCTAAAGGCATGTGACAGAAAGAAATAAAAATACATAGGTGCTTATTGAGCTAGTATTAGTAAGCCATAAACTCAGGAAAAAGCAGAATGAAGGAAAAGTAAAAAATCATGAAGGCAAAAAACAGCAGTGTTGGAGGTTTAGCTCAGGTTTTCAATATGAGCAATTTGCAATGAGCGATGGAAGCCAACACTTCCTTGCTGAGCTCTTCACCATCAGTCACCAACAATCATTCCTCAAATGCCTTTGTTTGGGTCTTGAAGAAATTGATGCTTAGCCTTATATCATTTTAGTCTTGCCTCTCTGCTGTGTAAATAACTGCTATATACTCATAAATAGTTCATGAACTTGCTTTCAGAAGGTCTGTATGTACCCAAACCAAAATTTTCAGGCATTATGCCCGTTTTAAAGGTAGGAAACAACATATCTCTGTTGTGTTGCATAGAGCCATATACAGACACTGGTCTTTACAGATTATTTCTCATAAGTAATTCAGCAATTTAAATTCTTTTACACTGGTACAAATAAGATGACGTGATGAAAAGCAATGATCCAGATGTCATTTAGATGCACCAATTGCAAAAAATTAATTTCTTACCTGTTTTCTCTAACATCCTTGAATGCATTTCAATCATACCAGGTTCTGGGAAGATTAAAATAAAAAGCTCATGTTAGAGAGGAAGGCTTGAACATAGCTTTCCCAGTGGGACATTTTGTTAGTTTGATTGATAAACTCCAAAGAATTGTTGTTGTCATATCTACTGCTAACAAATGTAGAATTTGTGTCTGTGTGTCTGTACATGTGTGTGTATGTGTGTATGCACATAGAAAGGTAAAGGTAACTGCGCTAGAAATTTTCACACTTCTTTGGTCATTTGTCACCCACAGAATATATATTCCTATGCACACTGAACCATATTCACTGAAGCATATTCCCCCTTTCCAGTGGGAAAGGGGAGTCTTTCAAATGAACACTAACAGCCAAATGCTAGGATTATCACTTGTCTTCTCTTTGTAATTGTAATGTAATTGACATCCTACATTATATTTCCATTTCAAAGAAACAAGGAGCCCTATTCAGCTGCTGTGCAATCACTCTCCAATTACCACTCCCATTTAGTCTACACAGATACTCCTGCTGGCCTGGGTTTTAGATTTCACTTCTGTATTAGAATAAAACAGATTCATTTTAAAGGTCAGTAATCACGCAAGTGAAACACATTTTTAATGGCAGAAAAAAAATTCACTTTCATTCCTGAAATTATGATAGCCAGTGCAGTGCACACTGTCCTATCAGCACAGGATTCTAAAAATAGAGCTACTGTTGTGATTAGTTTTGCCTTAGATCTAATAGCAGTTTAATGCGTGCAGTATCACTTACCAGCTTTCTTAATGTAGTTGTGGTCAACATATCTGTGAAAATAAAATATTCAGTAGCATTACTTTTTTATCCAAAGGAGTAGGCCAAACTCTTCCACTTATACTGTATCTACTTCTTCAGAAAATAATCAGGTTTCCCTCTGGAAATTGACAAATTAATTGTTTGCTATTCAAGCAGTTTTCCTACTAAAAATGTGTGACCTGAAGGACATCATCGTAGGAATAGGAAGTCAAGTTCCTGACTGAATTATAATTGTGGAAATTTTAGTTTTGTATTAGATACAGTCTGAAGAGAATGATTTTCATTGATTCAGAGAACAAATATAGTCTTGATTACTTAGAGAACTTAACAGAAATTATGACACCTGCAGTCTACAAAAGACTGTGAAGACCCCTGTGCAGCACATTGAGCCCAACTCTCAAGCACATCAAGTTTCCATTAATACTAGGACACAGCCTGTGTGGTCTAAAGGAAAAAGACTAATAAAAATACAAAGTATAGAATTATAGAGAGACAAAATTTAGACTAAGAGGATATGATATACTTAATAAAAGCCACTGCAGATCTGATTTTTCCTGAAGTAATCAAAAATACTTATTACTACCTCAGAGCTAAGATGCAAGGGGGAAAAATCCCTTCTTTACAATTGTGAATGAAGAAAAGAGAAGGTGGCCCACTTGTTTTTTCATTCAAGTATTGTAGAAATGTTCTAACAAAATGCTTATTCTGTATATCCTTCATCTTAAACTCTTGCATTGCTTTTCTCCAGGCAGTATTCTATGTAACATAACAGAGAATTTATTGATTATCTTTTAAAGGATAGGTTTCATATTTTACTTATTGGTGCAATGAGATTTATTTTGTCTCCTTCATTTGTGAAGACACTTTAATAGAAAGGCCCCATTTTCATTTGTCCTGCAATTCTAACAGAAAACTCTCTTTGAGAACTCGTGCTGGTAATCTAATGCAGTTTCAAAACCTGACAAAATGAAGTGAAAATATGTAGATCAGAAAGAAAAAGTAAATGCTGCTTGAAATGAAGCATCTCAGTAACAGAGGGGTAAGGGCTTAGATTTTCTCAAAAATATGATTATTTCATGTGGCATATAAATTGTATGTTCCATATGCCATTTAAGGAGTATAGGGAATTCTCTGAGAAATATCAGAGTATCAGCATCCGTGCTGCTTTCAGAATTACTTTGCTTGGACAGTGGAAAAGTGTCTATCCAGGTGTTTTGAAGACACTTTGAGCCTTAAGTTGTATTTTTGCATCTCTGTATAAGTAGTCTGTAATTTTGACCAATTTTCTATCATGTTTGCTAGCTGTGTACTCAACATGGTTGCCTCACTGAAGGATCACAGATTCCAGTTCTTAAATTAGCTGTCACATGGACTGCACTGTGGAGTTCATGAACTGAGCTTTCTGAGTATGGAAACTCACTTTAGGTTCTTATTTGTATCTTAAGCCCACCAATAAAATTATCTATTTGTCTATTCACCAGACCTTTTCCTTTATAGATCCAGGATTCCACAGTTATGAAAACATTCATTTATTTATTTTACTTCCAAGTGAAGAAATCTGATTAGCATAAATTCTGATTAATAAGTTAGACATCTTTAAATGTGTCAGTCCTACATACAAGCTTTTTGTAATTGTTGATTTGGAGCTTCCAAGTGTTGTGGTTTAGCTCTGTCTCTGTACTAAGCCCCACACTTTCACTTGCTCAATTTCCCTTCTCTCCTTGGTGGAGAATAAGAGGAGCAAAAATGAAAAAAAAAATCATGAGTTGACATAAGGACAATTTAACAGGTGAAGTAAAACAGTGGAATTCATTCACCATGCCCCATGGGCAGGCAGGTGCTCAGCCATCCTCAGGAAAGCAGGGCTCCTCCCTAAGGGTGCTTTGGGAAAACAGATGGCATTAGTGAGGATGTCGCTCCATCCTTCTTCCTTCTTCCCCAGCTTTTTATGCTGAGCACGACACCATGGTGTGGGATATCCCTTTGGGCATTTGGGATCAACTGTCCCTAATGTGCTCCCTCTCAGCCCCCTCACTGGTAGGGAGGGATGAGGAGCAGGAAAGGCCCAGCAATTATGAAACATCCCTGAATTAACAAGACTGCTTTCAACACAAATTCAAAACATAACCAAATACCAGCTACTATGGAGAAAATTAACTCTACCCCAGACAAAACCTGCACATGCAGTTTCACTACTTTTTTCTCTTATTGTAGCTAAAATAATTTAAATTATCTCAATACTATATTTCCCATAAAATATACTAGATACATGATGGGAATATATTTATAAAACAACTGTGGCTTGGTTTGCATAAAGTTAAAACATTTCTGCCCAGGCTGTTTTATCTGTATTTATTCTTTGAGTATGTTTCTCATGCCAGAGAAATAGTGATGATAAGACTGCTGCCAAATACAATCATACTAAGAAAAACTGAAACACCATTAGCTTAATTTAATCCTGTAAAGACTTTGATTTTATTAATTTTGGACTGGATGTAATTTCTTCTGGAGAGTCACAGTACTATTTCCTTCCTTGTACTGGAAAATTATGTTCCTAGATGAGTCAACTATAGGTTTGAAGCTTTGCTGCAGAGTTAACTCACATGATCCTAAGCTGGGTTAAAATAAATGATTTTCTCACACACATGCCTCAAAAAAAAAAAGGACAGAAAGTAGTTGAGAGAAAAAAAAAAGAACATGCATGTAAACTGCTCATTTATGCTGCTAAACTGAACCTGGTCTTTGAATTTGTAAGCAGGAAGCAAATTTATAACACTTCTTTGCTTGTTTAGTCTCTGAATTCAGTTCCTGTCACAGAGAAGGACAAGGTGGTCACTAAGAGGCTGTCACCCACAGTCAGAAAAGGCCAATCAGTTCTGACTGTGGTTAAATCTTCCCTCTAGCAAACAAGGGTCACCAGCTAATCCACATACCTAACTGAAAGGGTTCTAGGAGGGTTTGAATTTGCATCTCAATTTCTCAATCTCTGTACCAGGGTCACACAACCAAACTTTCTGAATTATGCAGTGGTTCCCCACATTCATGTTGTCATTACCTATCAACAACCTGTGCTCAGAGGTCAGATCAAAACAAAGTAAGACTCTTTTTTCAAATTTTGATAGCTATAACAACAAACTAACTTGAAAGTTAGGAACAAGAAAATATTGATATGTAAAGGGAATAAAAATATTCCCCCTTTGGTCAAAATTGCTTTGTCATCATGAATGGCATTCTTTGCCATTCTTTGCCATTTGTGTAACATCATATAAATGTTGATGAGTGAATAATCTTTTAAATTCTTAAGTGTGGTGAAGTGTTTCCATTAATTTGCATTAAAAATGTGTATATGTTGTGCAAGCTTTTTTTTTTTGTCTTCTATGTAATTAGTTCTTTTCAAAATTTATGGTAAAAATTAGCTCTACATATCATGATTTTCATGTAGAGAAGTACAGTTTAAGAGTCAAGATATAATATTTTCTTCTATATCATTCTTGTACCTGTTAATAGATTTTTCTCTTATAGTATCACCTTTTATAGCTTGAAATATCTGATACATTTTAATTAAAATTTTTATTTTGAATCTCATTCAACTCTGAGTAACAAATTATCCTAGTGACAAAATTAATGAGCAGAATCTTGGAAATTTGCCTATGCAATATTCTTTTCTTTCTTATAATCAATTTTGCATCCTCTGCCTGCAAAGGATCTGCAATGATGTGATCTTTTCACTCCAATGACATCTAAAGCTAAGTACAATCAGGGGCATCTTAGGCTTCTTGGAAAATGTATTCAGGAATCAAAGGAATTAACATGAAAATGTATCAAATTAAAATATCATCCATCTGAAATAATGAGTGATAGGTGTTCAGAGAATGGAAAAAATTTGCTCATCTTAAAGTAAAATTGCTGTCACCATGTGGTTTTCTGACTGAATTATTCAACTTCTTTTATTACACATACTTTGGCTGATATAGTAATATTCCATTCTCACAATGTTCCACATTAGTAAGCCTCCCATTGTTTCACATAGTGACATTTCTAAGATGAGCAAACTGCTCACTGAGAAAAGATGCCTTTCCTTTTATCAGACCATTAGGAATAAAATCTTGATCATTTGGATCAAAGTTGTTGCTGTCCGGAAAAGTTTATGTAGCATTGCAACCAAAGAAATTATATTGCATAATTAAAATCAATAAAACAGGGACTAGTTCAGACAGATTATGTTCAGAAATCTTAGAGGTGGATTGAAAAAATTTTAAAAAATTTCAAAAAAAAAAAATTCTTCTCTTTTTTGGTGTTTCTTAATCCATCTAAATTGCCAGGTTGTTGGGTTGGTGAGAGAAACTCTGATATCCAGTTAGAATGGATAAGAGGGTGAGAATTTGGCTTATAATACAATTTGCTTTATCTTAGATCGCCAGACATGGCAGCAAAATTCTGATTTCACAGTAGGTCACTGGAAGACACTGACATTTCCATAAGTCATTGCAAGGGTGGATGGCAAACCTTTAAAGCCGGAAAGGAGGCATAACCCAAACTTTCTAAGACTTGTGCTAGTTCCACTGGGAAGCTCTGCCATCTTGTGTTCAATTAGAAGATAAATCTGGTTTCCCCAGAGGACAGAAACTGTAGGGCTTTGTGAGTTCTTACCTTTTCTAAAATAAGTGCAGGCATAAACTCATCAGCCTCTAACTACAGTGTAAGGGTAAATTTTTAGACTGACTTTTCTTTATGAGTGTGGGTGGTACATTTATTGTTCCACATGAGTTTGTGCTGGCTTATCAAACTGCAGATTCCCTAAACTGGGCAAGATTAATGCCTTTGTGATAGGTAACACAGCTAGCCACCTGAGCTTGTCCTCACATTTACAGGATTATGGCACCACTTAGAGAGTTCGTTCCTGTCAATTCCCTCTAACAAGTCAGGAGACAAAGTGCTTCTTTAGTTGCTGAGATGTTAGCTGTAAATTGAATCAGACGATCACTTGTTTGTGCTAAAAAAAATTGAATCA